GATTTCTTTTTTTTGTTGTTGTTTTTATAAAGAAATATACAAATTCGAAATTCAACATCTAGAAATGCCATTTCTTTAATGAATGATAAAAAATTTTATAATTACAATCTAAATTCAATTATTCTGGAAAATAACTGGCAGGGTCTTTGTATTCAATCCAATAATAAATTTATGATTAATGATATTAAAACAGAAAGTATATATATATAAGAAAAAAATGTAGACTTCTTTTATAACTAAAAGTCAAAATATTACATTACAATGTAACATTGCACAAAGACAAAACTATCTGTCTATAAATTCAATGGGAGAAGGTTTGCTTGCTATTACGTCATATCACATTCTTTAATAGTACTCTTTTTTTTAACTAAATGTTTTTTATCCTTAATTTTAGATAAAGAAATCAGTGTTTTGCTTTACAATCTGTGCAAAGTTTAATGTTATATAAGGCAACATTAAAAAATTCCTACATCAGAGTAAATTTACTATATAGAACCTTTACAATTGAATCTAGTTGCTTTGAAGATACTAATTTCAACATAATACACACTAAGGCAAAAAAAGAACAAGAAACAAAATATCAATAAGAAATACTACATTTTACGGAAATTCATTTAGATATTTAAGTTTTATAGATTATAATATTATCCAAAAATCAACAAGTGCTGAAATTGTCAATAATAAATTTTTAGGAGTATGTTTTCAATTTAAACATTTTCATAACTCAGAATTATGGAATAGATATATTCAGATTTGGACCCGATTTAAAAATAGAAAACAATTATTTTGAATCATTACTTGATTGTAATAATGTGACCCAATTATCTCAATGTAGAAATGTTCTACAAGAAAATGTTAATGTAACAATTATCTTTAGCTGCTCCGCACTAAAATTTAATACAGCTATAGTTAGTTTAAAAGGTGTAAGTAATTATATAAAGAATACTGTTTTTGATGGAGTAGCTCTGAGTTTAATGCTTAGTGAAGAAGTAATTGTAAAAGAATCAAATTTCTTATCATCTCAAATTGGCTTACAAATTACTTTATTATATAAAGTTGAAAATCTAATGATATCAAATATCCTTGTAGAATCTATTAGAGGAGCTGGATTGGATTTAATTGGTTCATATAATAGAATTTCAATTGAAAATAGTAATTTTAATAAAAATCTTAATTCAATTAAATTAACTCAAATGAATCATCAAATTCCAATTTATAAACCATCTTTTGAATATTCAATTTCTTCACCAATTACTTTCTGTACAATTGGAGCAGTTTTCAATTTACAATATAAATCACTACTATGGTTTGATTCACATTGGTTTGATTTCTCAAAGGAAGGATGCTCAGCAATTTTAACAATTCCTTATGGTTTTATTTTTAGAATACAGATTTTATCTGGATCTATTTCAACTAAAGATACACACATTTTTCCAAAGAATAAATCACCTTATACTCTACACAATGTGAATCAAGTATATAGAATCTTAAATATTACTACTCTCTCATACAAATAACTCCAACTTTTCCAAAACAGCAAGAAATATTTATTTATGAAAATGATATGAGAATACAATTAAACAGATATTATCATAAATATTCATTGAAGATTCTCTTCTCTTCAATCAAAAGACCAGGTTCAGTTAAATTTTATCATTAGTATTGAAATAAACTAGTTTTTTTTCTTATATTCAGTAACTCAATGTACATTTGAGAATAATCTTTGTGGATGGAAAATTCTATTTCCAAACTCTATCTATAAGCAAATCAGATTAACAGAAAGGAAAACGACGGATTGTTGGTATGATGGGGAAAAAGATCCTCAGTTTTTTCAACATGCCATAATCTTTTCACCAAATTGCTGTTCAAGCCAAACAGTATTTTTGAAAAAAGAGAATTTTCATATCTTATATCAAAGAATCAATTAGAAATTAGTGACGATATTGGAAAAATCGTTACATATAGAGATTTCAATAATAATTTAAAGAGTACTGATATATGGTTATTAACAAATTCTCCAAATTTACAACACCAATCCAATAATCATTCTCCTTTTAAACATGATATTATAAAACCTTTTGTTTGTAGAGAGTTTAATACTTTTGCTTGTGATAATAATTGTTTTAAAAGAGGAGTTTGCTTCCATGGAATATGCATTTGTGATTCTGGTTGGACAAAGGCTGATTGCTCTCAAATTACATGTAAAAATGTTGGATATTGTAATAAGCATGGAAAATGTATTGGTCCAAATTTTTGTCAATGTGATCCAGGATGGTATGGAAAAAGATGTTCAATATCGAAATGTCCACGATATACAAATTGTAAACAATGCACAGAAAAAAATGCTTGTGGATGGTGTGATTCTACTCAAAGATGTATGCCTGGAACTCCTAGTTTACCTTATAGATCTTGTCCTGATTGGTTTTACTGGAATTGTCTTACTATCAAGCCAAATTCTTGTTCCAATCAAATATTATCATTTAATTGTATTGAACATTATTGTTCTAGTGCTGCTGATAAAGTATGTCAACAATGTATTGACATTAATAATTGTTATCAAAAAACAAAAACTGGGTGTAGAGTATGGAATGAAAAGAAATGCCCAGATGGCTTTCCACATACAGATTTGACCTCTGAGCAAAGATTAAATGACATTCAATTCAAGGAAAACATTATTCAGATACCCAATTCTTCAACATTGTACAAATGTGATAGCAATGAGAGATTAAATGGTGATTTGAACGATGAATATGAAATATTTGTACTAGAAGACGGAAGTGATGTAATTAACGCTGTTGGAAATATTATAATAAGTAGAAAGAATTATAGAATTCATCATGAAGTCTTGAACAGCATGAAAGTATTATCAAATTTTGAAATAATGGTTGCACATGTAATAAATCCATTGGATATATTTAAAATATGCTCATTTGAAAATAAATGGTAAATTTAATAAAATTAATGATGAGAAAACGGTACATATGGCTCCATCTGATGATGAATTGTCAAAATTCCTTCAAAATTCAAATGACAAGGGGAAAATAATTGATAATGATAAGAAAATTAATATGAAATGTTTAGGAGAAGTGTACCAGTATAAAGGTGAATCTCTTCGATCTTATTACATCATCGTAGAAGATTCGGAGATATTTGAAAAAAAAGATGTTGTCATCGTTAAAAATACTTTAGGTTTTCTAGAAAAAGTTGAAAGTTCTTATCAAACAATTAATAAAGATTTGTTTATAAAATCATCATTATTAGACTGTTCAAATTATAATATTGAAAATGAAGAGTTTGACAAAATACCAGTTTATTCATATCAATTATACTGCAGAGGAGAAAATAATAATCATAATTTATACTACTCACAAACAGATGATATTATTGACAATGGTAAAATCATTATTGGACAAAAAGTATCTACTTCACTTGGTTATGTAATTAATTCAAAAACTTTGTTGAATGGATGGAAAATGATTGAATTAATCAATTTAGGTTCATTGACAAATCTTCTAGATGAAATTAATATAAATTTTAATCAAATTACAAAAAAAACTAATTCAATTTCAACCAATTCTAATGATAAATTAGAGCTATCAATTCAAGAGAATTTACCATCAGTAATGCTAGATGTAAGTGTTTAATGAAATTAAAAAGAATAAGAATCTGAAATATTAATGTAATAAACCTTTATCTTTATTTTATTATTAGAAAAAGGTGGCTAAGGTGTCAATTGTATCAAAGGCTATTTCATCAATTCAAACAACAATGGAAATAAAAATCCTGCCTGATTATGGTGTTAAATATTTCAAATCTTCTTTGGCTATAAATCATGATATTTATATCAACTATGATATTTCTAAGGAGGAACTTATCAATTTAGATTTGAAATTGATGGCTTTAATTTCCCTGGTATAGTATCTACATCAGAATTTTCAGTTGGAACAGTTACTCTTCAATCAAGAGATAATTTTCTCTTTCAATCTAAGAACTGTACACTTTCAAGTTTATTGTACAGTTCACTTATCTTCTACAACAAAACAAATTTAGACAATCATAGGACAATAGCGGAAAAGCAAAGGAAAAATTTGCATGTCAGCATTAAATGGAATTGGATATGGAAAAGTTAATATTCCATTTAAATCAAAATTTTCTCTAAAATGGCCACTTTATAAAAATACTATAAAATCTAAAAAATTAAATGAAAACTTGAAATATTTTGCTAGAAAAGGATCATTGAAATCTGTAAACAACTGGCTTGCAAGTATAGTATCAAAGAAATCATTGTAAATATATTTTACCTATAATTATCTATGTATAAACAGGTATAGAAATTGAAAATTTTTCTACAAAAACAAATAATCAACTATCAATGGATATGGTGATAAATAAAAAAATAGAAATTAAAACTGGATACTCTGATGGACATATTTGTGATGAAAGAGAAGCAAACACTGGTAGTGTTATGTTAAATGATATCACAATTAAAGGAAAAATAGGTTTTCTATTTATGAAAAAGACATATTTTATATCAATTGTATAAAGAAAGACTTTCCTATATTTAGGTAAATGTTTTCTTTTTTACAATATATACTATTTTGATAATAAAAACAAAAAATATTTACAAAATTTCAGCCAAGGTAGCAACTATGAACGTAGAATGAGAAGAAAGTATGACATTTGTAAATGTGGTCAATATGGCAATGACATCAAAAATGGACTCTACAATAAGAAAAATAAACAATGTATGTGTCCTTGTAGATGTGAAAATGGAAAAAGGGAATTTAGTTATAAATATGAATCTGGAGCTTGACTTTGTTGTCCTGATGGATCTGCAAAAAGTATTTATGACATATATAATTCTTGTCCATGTATATGTCCTGATGGAACACCATCTAGATTGATATTTGGGCTATGTTCTTGCCAACCATGTTCTAAATGTTCAATAGACAGAGCTGAGAAGAGGCACCATCTGGTGAGTGTACTTGCAGAAATCAGTGTGGCATCAATGGTATTTGTCTATCTGAAAGGAAAGGTAAAGAGTGTGAACAACCAGTTTGTAGTCCTTCAAAAAATTGTAACAATCATGGTATTTGTAAACCAGTCATGAATTGTAAAGCAACCTGTCAATGCTTTAGACAATGGATGGGTAACGCCTGTGAAATACGTAATCCAAGGGTAGCTTGGGGTGATCCTCATTTAGAAACATTGGATGGTAGAGCATTTGATTACTTTGGTATTGTTAAATTTTGGGGCTGTATTTCACCATCTTTGTCATATCAATATAGATTCTATGCTTATAAAACTACATCATTCATTGGAGCAATTGTCATCAAAGTAGGAAATTCATCTGTTTTAACTGTGACTACTAAACTAAATATAACAGCTGATGATTTTCCTTCTCTAAGATTGGATGGATCTTTAATTGATAACTTGAACAGTAACCATTCCTATAAGTTTGACAATGACACAATTCGTCTGGATATTTCACCAAAATCTTCTCTCATAAACAAGAAAGATCCGACTATTTTGATAACATCAGTCAAATACAATAGTGGATCATCAATCTCAGTTATCACATCATTCAGTGAGAAAATGAAATGTCAATACTTAAGTTTGTCAATTACTGGCAGTGAAAAAATGTTTAATCAAACTTCTGGCATATGTGGAGTGATGAATGATGAAGACAGTGATGACTTTAAAGGCCCAAATGGTGAAAACTTTACATCACATATTGATTTTGTTGAATCATGGAGAATGACAAGTACCTATAGACAAAATAGAGGTCTATTAAACACTTGGTCATTTCATCTATCTAACTTTCATAAAGATGATGTTATGGATTCTAGTTATACTCTCTCTTCTCATAAACCTATTTATAGCCTCAAATATATTAACCAATCAAAAATTGATCTTGCTTCGGAGTTATGTGCAGGTGATGATGTGAATGAAGATGACAAGAAAAGATGTATATATGATGTTGTTATGTCAGATGATCCTTCTATAGCCAAACAAGGTATTTTGACATTGAAGCAATGTAAAAATCAATGCTCAAATAGAGGAACTTGTCAAGATAAAGTATGTGTTTGCATTGATGGATGGTCTGGAGAATATTGCGAAATAGGGTTCTGTGATCAATGTGTCAATGGTAATTGTTCTGAAGGATTCTGCTCTTGTTTTAAAGGTTTTGAGGGATCAACATGTGAGATAGAGGCATTCTGTGAGGGAAACTGTTCTTCAAGAGGAATTTGTGTGAAAACTGGTGTTTGTGAGTGTGAAATAGGTTGGACAGGTAATAATTGTTCTGAGGTAGCAATATGTCAAAAGGGATGTTCAAACCATGGAGTGTGTATTGATCATGATAAATGTAAATGTGAAGTAGGATATACAGGACCAACTTGTTTACTGTATTCTTGCGAGAATATGAACTACTGCACCAATCATGGATCTTGTCTGGGATTTGATGAATGCTTGTGTGAGGATGGATGGAAAGGAGATGCCTGTTCAATTGCAATTTGTGAGAAAGATTGTTCATTGAATGGAGAGTGTATTGCACCCAATAAGTGTTTATGTAATAATGGATTTCATGGAGATTATTGTGAACATTTAAAATCATGTCCAGATTTAATGAATTGCAATGGTCATGGAATTTGTAAGAATGAAACAGAGTGCATCTGTGATAGTGGTTTCACTGGAAGAAATTGTAGTGTACCAGAGTGTGATCCACCATACTCATTGAATGGTACATGTATTTCAGCCAATGAGTGCAAGTGTGACCTAGGATTTGAAGGAATGACTTGTTCTGAATTTTCATGTGAATCATTAAATTTTTGTTCAGGTCGAGGTAGTTATATTTCATTTGATAATTGTTCATGTGATCTTTTATGGTATGGACCAAAATACTCTGAAACATCATGTAAAAATCAATCAAATTGCTCAGGAAATGGCATATGTGTGGCACCAAATGTTTGTAAATGTAAAAATGGTTTCACAGGAGAGGATTGCTCTGAAAAAGCTGTTCCAAATATAGATAAACCACAATTTTTAAGTGATGATTATACAGTAGTTGTTGATGAACTCATTTCAAACAATGAATATTTATTACAAATTCAGGCTAATGACACAGATATAGGATCTACTAAAGGAATCTTCTATAGTTTAGGCTTCTCAAATATTTCTGTAACAATTGATGAAATAACAGGCGTGTTGCAATCTAATGTAGAATTTAAACCAGGAAGTTACAATGTAGAAGTAGTAGCAATGGAAAATACATTATCAAAGTTATCTTCTTCAGCCTCTGTAACTATAAATGTTGAGGATGTAAATAAATGTGCAGTAATTAAACATCCAGTTTTGAATGATAAGATTCTGTTAAATTCAAGTATACCTCAAGGATCCTTGGTATTAAGGATAGATGCAACTGACCTTGATTATGGTTTGAAAGGAGAGCTGACATACAAACTAGAGAAAACTGAAAAAGAATCAAATATTTTTGAAGTTAGAGGAAATTCAACAGAAATAGTAACAGTAAAGTATCCTCTTCCAGTTGGACGATTTGAACATCGTCTTATTGCTTTAGATAAATCTGATGATCCTTGTTCAAGTACATCCACCTTTGTTGTTTATATTCAACAAGGAGAAGAAGTGGAAGTTACAACTGTAAAACCTGAAGATGGAACTATTTCTAAAAGTATACAAAGTACATTACCAAATGAGGAAAGTACTCTGAATGAATTTAGTACAGAAGAAGATACAGATTTTACTACTAAAGCATTTTCAAATTACCTAACTACATCTGGTGGAGAAATTATTGATACCACATCATATTCACAAACAGTTATTAAGAAAACTTCTGAAATGACTTATTTAATAATTGCTATTTCCAGTGTTGGTGTAATGGTGTCAATTGCCATATTAACATTTTTGTTCTTATTTATTAAAGCCAAAAAGGGAAAAGGATATATATAAACATTTTATTTATCAAAGTCAATAATATTTTTATTGTCACTTTTTTAATATGCCATGTTCTTTGCAATGTAAACTTGATAAAATGCCATTATTCAAAAATCTTGAGCAGTTATACAATCAGTTACCATACATCACGTGATCAAAGATAAACAAAGAGAGAGTTATTTCTTGTGTTGAAAAATCAAGGTAACTTTTTAAACCTTGATCATTTTAATTCCAAATATGACTTAGTCTTTTTTTAATTTTCCTGTAACACCAATTCTGTGACACTTCTCAACTCTGAAAGGTGAGATTATTTCCCACATTAATGCATCCATTCTCTGGTTTCGCATGAGGCAAGCATAGGCTTACAAGAGTCAAACATTTGCTCAAGAACAGAAATGCTTTCTCTAAACGAACATTGGCTGGATTAGAGTTTTTGGCAAGAAAGAAAATGAATTAATAGAAAATTATCCCAAGAGGATATTTGAAAAAAGTATTTATTGATTTGAAGTTAGAATGGTTCCATTGAAAAATTTGGGGTAATAAAAAGGTTAGTGATTCACAAAGGATAACTCAGGGTAAAGCAATGCATTTGGGGTCATTTTCTGTCCTATCCGAAGGAAAATCTTTTTTGGAATGTAAACATGATGTTTGTGAAAATTTTTCAAAATTCTTGGAAATAATGATATTTAGACATTAGACATGATAGAACATTAAAATAACTTTTATTTTCTAGGAATTAGCATAATGGAACTTTACATTCTGATCAAAATATAAATAGCTTCTAATCTACTTGTAGGTTTGTGATAAATTGAATGAGTCAATATTGAAGAGATGGGTTGTATTTGTTTTAGAATTGGTTGCAAACTGTCTTTTATACTATATATATATATATATACTTTTTGAAAATTATGCATAATCATTTCCACATTTTTCATTAGGTCTATAAAAATTAGTGAGAGAGAGAGAGATTATAAGAATTTAAATGAAATTTATTATTAAGAATATCATTCATCTACATGTTTTCTTCATATTCAATAACTTTTTTAATATAGTTGTATTGGCTTGCTGTTTGGGAAAATATAGATTTTCCATGTAGACACCCTATAATAATCAAGCTAGCTACTCCACTTGCTGTCCATTTCCCACCAATATTACAGGATAGAGGACCTCCACCATCACCCTAAAAGAAATTTATATTAAATGATATATATACATATTGAAAAGATAATTTCAATTACATAGCAAATTTGAGAATCAGCAGTTTCAATACCATACCCACAGATTTTTTCTGGATAATTTAATAGTGTTATTTGCTTATTAGCTTTCTTAATCATTTCATTAGCACAAATGTGTTGTGTTTTCAATTGAATTTTAGTTTTCATCAAATAAGAACTAGCATCTGTGGCTAAAATTAAAAAAAAAATAATATTATTTCAAAATTCTCATTTATTATTTTATGTTTGAAAAATAATTTTACACTTACAATTTTGTGATAAATATCCAAAACCGGAAGTGTAGCATTTATAGTCTTCATTACCAGTTAGAGGTTGATTATCTAAACAAGCAGTGTTGATTGAATCTGACATTTTAACAGCTCTATCCAATTTTAGTATGGCTATATCATTCTGGCTAAAAATCTCATTATAGTCTGGATGGATATGGATTTTTGTCACATTATATTGTTTTCCATTGTATAATTTAGTAGATCCCAATTTTACAATGAAGGTTACTGCTCTGAACAGATATCCTTAATTAATAAAACAACTATGTCTGATGACATTTAAAATTTAAAACAAATGGTAAAAAATAAAAAACGAACTGTGGTACGCAATAAGCAGCTGTAAGTACAAATCGTTCATGAATAAGAATTCCACCACAAACAAAGTTGTTTGTATATGTTGTTTGTATTATTTGTACCTAATATATAGGATATTGTAGTATTTTTACTAAAATGAACTTTTCATCTCCACCTACTTCCCCCAATTTAAAATTTTACCTGCCATGGAAATTCCCCTGCAGAGGTAACCCTTCTTCCTCCAATAATTAATGGACTACTACCTAGAACACCGCAATTTTTATGATTGAGTCCAACTGTAGGCCTAATTTTAGGTTTTTGAGTCATAGGTGAAGGTGGAACAGTTGGTCTTGTTAACTTGATGTTAATATTATTTTTTATAGTCTTCTCTATCCATCTGTAATTTTTTCCAGTTTGTGAATATAATATTAAACCATTTTTATACAATTTGGTCGAATTCTGTAAAATTCCTCCAACAAACCATTTTCCATTAACTTTACAACTTAATGGAGATCCTATATCGTACTGCAAAATGATATAACAAAAAGATGGATATTAAGTTTTTATCTTAATAAAATACTATCAAAAATTGTGTACATAGATAGATTGACTTTGAGAAGTCTTGGAAGATTTTGCACAAAGCGTTTCCGGATATAAAGTATAGTTGATGAAGAAAGACTCCTTGCATTGTTGTTCATTAACCAGATTTTGTTGCAGTTTTGTAAGGTTATAAGTAAGAATTTTTGGCTCTTTAAATACAAAAATGATATTTAAAAAAGAAACAAAAAAACAATCATCTCTTTTATCATTCTTACTTAATGTTCCATAACTTGTAACATAGCATTCATATTCCTCCATTCCATTCAGATTTTGTTCAATTAAGCAGGCAGGGTTAATTTTATCACTGAATTCAATCTCCTTTTCCAACCTTATTAGAGCTAGATTATAATTAATTGGAAGATGGCTATACTTTGAGTGTTTTATAAACTTTTCTCCATAGTATGCTTTTCCACTATATCTCTTTGAAGATCCAGCAATAATTGAGAATTTTGTATATCTAAAATTTTGAATGAAAAATTCAACAAATAGAGAAAAATTGTATTTAAGAGAGAATATAACAATTTTTCTTTTTACCTATCAAGTTCACAAGCTGCAGTAGTTAGAATAAATCTTTTATGAACAATTGCTCCTTCACATACAATGTAATAGGTACTGTTTATAAGTCCATATATCCAAACCTTTAAATTAGAACAAGTGTTGTATAAAATACTTTAAAAAAACAAACCAAACTTTATCATACATGCCATGGAAAGTCTGCTATTGAAGCATTTTTTACTGCACTAATATTACCAGTTCTACCGCAAAGTGGCTTATTAATATCAATATCTGAAGAAATAACCCCAAAGGAATAAAGTAGTATTAATTAACAATCAAAAAATAGTCTCAACCTGGTTTTGATGTTTGGCAAACTCCATCAGCTATTTTAATCTCATCAAAAGCAATATCTCCTGTATAGCCTTTACTATAAAATCCATAGAACAGCAATCTCTGATACTGCTTTGTTTAATGACAATTGAAAAACAATCGAATATATTTGAAATATTTCTTTTTTGAATCTTACCACAATTTTAGAAGAATTTCCATGGATTGTATGTGAAAATTTTAGCCATTGCTTTCCTTGATTTTCATGTTTATATAGAAGAGTTTCATTACCAACTATTATCTGTTTATTTTTGTCTAAAGTGACTAATGAGACAAGAAAATGACCCATATCTTCTCCATACATATTATATATAAATGATAAACAAATTTTCTTATTTATATAGACAATTGGAGATTCTAGAATAGCAACATCTGTCTCATAGGCATAGCTTGCCTCAAAATAGACAAATTGACCAAAATATGTCTGTTGCGGGCCAGTTTCTAATGAAGGTGTTTTTGTGCCAATTGACCAATTAAAACTAGACTTTTGTGTATAATTACAAAATCCTTTCTCAAATGTACATTGCAATCTTTCGGGAGGATATTCTGTATTGTTTAATCAACCAATTACTTAAAATTTTTATTGAGCATATCAAAGAAATCACTACTAATACTTACTATTAGCAATAGGTCTTACAGTTGATGTTGCTGCTGTTGTTGCTGCTGTTGATTCTTCTGACCCTACTTTACAGCTTTCCATTTTAAGTTGATCAATGGCAAATGAATAACTACTGAACCATTTACATTCTCGTTCAAAAATTATCTATAACCAATTTTTTAAAATAGATTTAATCTTTTGTCAATCCTTTTTTAAAAATATCAAAAATTACATTATAGCTTCCAACTGGAAGATCAACTGTTCTCTTAATCCATCCATTTCCACTTGAGCTTGGATTATCCAATAGTAAATTTTGTTGATTTCCCTTACCTTTTGTATAGATTTTTATACCATTTGCAACATTATTACCACTTATAAAGTAATAGAATGAAAATTTGCATCCTTTCTCATTGATTGTTACTAGAGGACTGTGGAAACTTTCAATAACTCCATTCTTACAAAAGTAAGAGTTAATGTGAGCAAAATGTCCTTTAATGATAAATATAGATTAGTTTTAATGATTGATGGAAACTATATATATTTACCTGTTTTACTTACATCCTGATAAGGTGGTAAATAGTGTATAGTTGGATCATTTATTTGCCAACTACTTCCATTGGTTTGCTGGGAGTATTGACAGAAATTTTTCAAGTTAAAGTTACAATTCAACTTTACTGATAGGGAAGATGGAGGAGAAAGTGTAGGTAAATCATCTATAATGACAAACAACAAAACAAAACAAATAACAATTAATCCATATCTTTCAGTTAATTTCAAGAAAATAATTAAATAATTCAAACATACTTGAACAACTATTTATTTCAATATTGTCAATAGCCACTATAGAATCACTTTCAGTGACTTTTTCAGCTTTGATAATGCACTATAAAAAGTGAATAGCTGTTTTATACAATATATTAAATATAGTATACATATACAGTCTACACCGTAAATATCTGTATTGATGTCTATACACAAATGAGATAGCTGACAAGGGGGGAAAAAAAGAACAAGATGACCTAGATCAATTGAAAAATCAAAATTCCTTATCAGAAAAGACTGTCAAAGACTTTAAGGAAGAAAAAGCTTATCAAATGATTATAAAAAGAGCTGAAAAACACCATCCACAAAATTTTAAATGAATAGGGAGGTGGATGTCTATCAGCAATGGCTAAAATAGATGTTTTCATCATTGATGAATCCTAGACCAACTGACAATATAGCAGTTAGATGACAAATCAAGACTATCTAGTAATAAGCTTCCTGTTGGATAGTTACCTCTCAGACTTGATTATATTGATATTTTTATTGTAGACTGTATATATTTCATTCAAACCTGATCAAAATTGCCATTTAAACTGATTTCTTTTGTAATCCATTTTTTATAATCAGAATAACTTGCAGAAAAGACTTTTACTTGTAAAACACGTCCATTCTTCAATGCGTAAATATATAGTTTATCAGTGAAAGATGTTAGAAGAAGATCAAATTTTAAACATAGAAAAATTGTAGAAATTATTGGAATTTTCAATTTTTTCGAATATAGATAAGCTTCTTTGATAAAAGAACTATTCTGTTTTGCGTACATGCATTTTCCTAAAAATTGTTATTATTATAACACAAAGACAATTAATCATTGATTAATAATGTAAAAACCTGTAGAGTTTAAAGATGAATTTAAGTGTCCTCTACGAAATTTGTAAATTCTTAGATCATCTGGTACAGTTGTTTCCAGTAAACAATTATCTGTTTCAAAGTCGCATTGCCAAAATACAATCTTACCTTTTTTTTTTTGTTTTTGCAACAAAGAAAATGAATTATAAGGTTTTTATTTAATTATTTGATAAACAATAAAAAACTAACCTTTGGCAAAGGAAAGTAAAACTATGAGATATATAAGAAAATTCACAAATATTAAATTCATTTTATAGCTAAACTTCCTTTAACACAAAGTCTTATCATCAAAAGCTTTTATAAGGAATGCACAAAAAATGATTCATTTCTTCCCAAACTAAATTTTTTTCAATATGAATGTAATGAAATATTTTCAAGTGAAAAACACATTACAAATAAAATTCTTAACAAAAACTTTACTTAACAATTCAAGCAATGGGTAAAAATATATTGCACAATACAGGTAGTTATTAAGTGATTAGGAAGCAAATAGCATTTAGTTCAGTAATTCTCAATAAACTTTCCTAATCACCTACTTTCCAGGAGATTATTAATATTTAAATCAACTGAACTCCATTTAACTTTGCCTTTGTTCAACTGGACAGACCTTTTCATTGAAACCATTAAAGTTGTATATTCATATTCTGTACAGTTGGATTCATGTATGACCTTATCTCAATTGAAACACCTGGACAGTCATCTCCACCATTAGATGGAGGTGAATTTTCACACTTTCTCCTTCTAGTCTGAATTTCTTCTTCACCACATATGGTTTCACAATCTCCCCCTGCTGACAACTTAGACCCAACTACCTGCAGTACGACAGTTTGCCTCCTTTTTGGGTAAGTACATACTCATTGTACACCCTCTTGAATTCATTTTTGGTTCATAAAAGTGACCAGGCGGACAGGTTTGAGGCCAACCAATGCCATTTTGGCAATGATAATAAATTTGACAATCAACAAAACTGGGGGAACTGTGATATTTTTATCAGGAGCTCATTCATTAGTTTTTGAAAACCATGGTGTGTCATATTTATTATTATCCGAACTGCACTGTTTATAAGACATTGTAGACCTTATAGTAGGATGGAATCTTGTTGATATGATAAAATTACTCTCTAAATATTAAGATAAGACTATTGATATAGTATTTAAAAAACAAATCACCTTATTTATCTAACAACAAAGAATCTTCAATTTTCATCTCCTATTTCTATCATATAATAAATCTGTTATAATAAGAGATTAATCTTGATTTTGTAATCTCGCAGTTTTCACAAAATAAAGAGAAAGTTGAAATATGTGTAACAAAAATACATGTCTCTTGTCTCTCCCTAATCTTGTTTATTACATTAATCAACTTTTTTGAAAAATTGCTGTAGTATTTCAATTCATTACTAAAAGAATATACTTGTTTACTATTTATTGTACAATCTTGCTATTTAGGGTTAGGGTTTTACAAATGCATGTTAAATAGTTATTCAAACAAGTCCAGATAAATTGTACATGTGTATTTTTAAGCTCTATTCTACAATAGAAAAGTAGTGTTGAACTAGTCCTGATAGCACTAATAATAGAGATCTGCTAGGTTTGACATACTTTTGCATAAGGTCAATGTCTCTTCAAAATTACCTTAGAATCTTTGAAATCTTTTACAATTATTCAAATAGTCCATTACTCATCTTTCAATTCCCAAATAAGTTTTTATCTTTTATTTTGATGCAACGTTTTAACAAATTTTCAATCTCTTCAATTTGTTCTTTATTCAAATTACACCATTTTAAATCAAGTTTCTTCAGAGTATTTGTTGACATTTGGAGTCCTTTACAAATATTCAAAAATCCATTGCCCATCTCTGCATTCCCACATAGGAATACTATTTCTATTCTGGAACAATATTTAAGCAATTTTCCAATCTCTGTACTTTGTTCTTCATTTAAACTACACCACTGAAACATGATAGTCTTTAAAGAATTTGATGACATTTTGAGTCCTTCACAAATATTCCATAATCCTCTACCAAACTCTGTATTCTCTGACAGACCTATTGTTTCTATTTTAAAACAATATTTCAACAATTCACCAATCTCTATACTTTGTTCTTCATTTAAGTTACATGCAAGCAAATCAAGATTCTTCAAAGAGTTTGAAGACATTTTAAGTCCTTCACAAATATTCATTAGTCCATTATCCATCTTTGTATTCCCACAAAGTTTTATACCTTCTAATCTGCAACAGAGTTTTAACAAATTTCCAATTTCTTTACTTTGTTCTTCATTTAAATTGCACCATTGGAAATCAATATTTTTCAAAGTAGATGTTGACATTTCCAGTCCTATACAAATTTCCAATATTCCATTACCCATATTTGCATTTCCACAATAATTTATTGTTTCTATTCTTGTACAATTTTTTAGTAAATTTCCAATTTCTCTACTCTGTTCTTCACTTAAATTACAATTATTGAAAAGAAGACTTTTCAAAGTGTTAGATGACTTTTGCAGTCCTTCACAAATATTCCTTATTCCATTACCCATCCCTTCATTCCCAGACAGATTTATTAGTTCTAAACTAAAACAATGTTTTAATAATTTTCCAATTTCCCTACTTTGTTCTTCATTTAAATTACACCATTCTAAATCCAGATTCCGCAGACTATTTGATGACATTTTAAGCCCTTGGCAAATATTTAATATACCATTACCCATATCTCTATTTGAACTTATATTCACTGTTTCAATTCTGGAACAATGTTTTAGCAAATTTCCAACCTCTGTACTGTGTTCTTCATTTAAATTACACCATTGTATATTAAGATTTTTCAAAGTACTTGAAGACATTTTAAGTCCTTCACAAACATTTATTATTCCATTATCCATCTCTTCATTACCACATAGATTTATTGTTTGTATTCTGCAACAATATTCCAGTAATTTTCCAATCTCTGTCCCTTGTTTATCGCTTAAGTCACACAAACGTAAATCAAGAATCTTTAATGTATTTGAAGAGAATCTGAGTCCTTTGCAAATAGTCATCAAACCATTTGTTGTTTTTATTCTCGACATTTTGCTCAGAATTTAAAAAACAACTATCGTAATCCAGATTGTTCAAAGCATTTAAGGATTTTTGCAGTTTATTATAAATATTTAACTATTCATTGTTATTGAAGGCTCACTACAACATTCTGTTTGTTTAACAATAGATATTCCTAAATCACTTTCTTTCAGTGAATCTGAGCAAATGTCAAATTTTAATCAAAATTGTGTTATCATATACTGATGGCCGCCATTTTGAAATTAGGATTACGCCTAAATATTATTACATTCACTTTATATTTGAAATGTAGATTTCTCTTTGTAGAATATTTAATATTTTGTAAAATGTGTGAAAGTTTAAGGTATTAACACGAATTTTATAGATTTCCGACAGTAAAAGATTTTTATAAGGGTAATCCTAAAACACGGACTGCATTGGTTTTCAACAGAGATATTCTGCTAATATTTACAAGTGTTGTGTGCTGAGAAATCAAAATTTTGAAAACTTGTCAAGACATGATCATTCAAAGACAACTGTAATGAACAGGCTCATAAGAGATGATTGGACTATTTCTCAGAGAGCAATTGCCAAAAAATTGATACATTTGTGAAGAAAGTACAGAATAATCTGTGCAAAATGGATTCCTTATGATATTAATGAGGACCATAAGGAAGGAGGATCATCACTGTATCAAACTATTCCAAGGTACACAGCAGAAAAAAGTTATTATTCAGACTTGGTAAACTTGGCCTAGATTCTGGACATTTTCTTTTCATCACTAATTTTTTGAATAACTACCAACTTAACGATATACTGTATATATATATATATATATATATATTTATATATATATACTTAAGGTAGTGTGTATCATAAGGTCTGTAAATCAATGTTAAACTGTCAACTTTGCTGAGAATAGAAATCCAAAACAAAAATGAAAGAATCAACTATTTACTGACATTTCATGTAAAGTGGCAATTGAATATTAGAGACAAACCTTCATGAATATAAATCTTTACTGTTTCATTCCAAATATCTCACCTAAAACTGGAAAGACCAACTGGAAATAACTTCCACTGACACAAGCCTTAAAACTCCTTCAACATTGTATACTAGGTTGCTAACATGGCAACCTGTTATTAGAAACTATCTATTTTGCTATTCAACTTTTATATAGTTACAAGATTAGGTATTTTATTTGAAATAAACCATTTAAATAAAACACTTTGTTAAAGAGTATTACAGTCTGAAGAGTTAGAAATTTCTACAATTACAATATAATAAAGTACAATATCTTGAAACATTTTTCCATATGCATATTCCTCAATAAAACAACTGTTTTAAAAGTTTACAGTTATATCTAATTTTCTCAGAGTATTTTTTTGTTTTTTTATTCAAGTTACATTCATGAACATTAAGTCTTTTTGAGGTGACCAAAGAAAATTAGTCCTTCAAATATTTCTTCAACCAATTCACCAATATGTCTAGTTCTCGACAAATCAATGTTTTCTATATGTAAAGACTTTTTAAGTAATTTTCCCAAAAAAATACAGTTAATAATGTTGAAGCTTTGTAAAGAATGTGACAATAATTGTAATCTTTGAAATACTTCTTCAAATGATCTACTCATAGACTCATTCGATGTAAAATTTATGTATTTTATATATAAACACTTTTTGAGCTATTTTCCCAAAGATTTGCCTTGATCTTCATTTAAAAGACAGACGCAAACATTCAACATTTGCAAAGTAGCAGATGATGATTCTAATCCTTTAAATATTTCTTCAAATGATTCACCAATATGCCTATTAAAATATGAAATACTGTTATATGGCACATGTAAAATATAATGCTAAGATTAGGGCCACATGCCAAACATGTGCCACAGTAAACAGGCCTGCCTCATCAGTATATGGTATTGAAAAAGATGTAACAACTTTTTAACATACATTTTTTCCATGTTCTTTATGCCTTTGTTAACTCCCAAGTAGATTTCTATTGATATATCTTCTGACTATTTACAAGTAATCCTTTTAAAAAGGTTTCTATAAAATTTCTTTGTTTGAAGCCTAACTGATAATTTTGTATAGCTATGAACAAGGGGATTTATTATGGAATTAGAGACAGCAACTGCTGCAAACAAATCCTTCAATAAATTAAATTCTGCATCTGATAGAGAAAATATTTGTTTACTCTTGTGATAAGTTGCAAGTGAAATTATGGGTAGCACAACCAATAAGATGTTATTATATATTAATAAACTGGTTAAGACCTTAATACTACTTCCTTCTGACCTTGAACTATCAACATTTGATAAATCAGAAATTGCTCTTCTGTGTTTCCTTACTGCTCTGAGAATTGGAATATATAATAGCAAACTGACAATAGCATTTGGTATTATAGTACTGAATGTCCAAAAATATAGATATGAAAAAGAAACAACATTTGTAGAATCACAGTAAAGAGTCGTATTTTGTTCCTTAATGATTTCATATTTATTCCAAATGAAAACAGGAATTGAGGAAATGATAAGACAAATAAACCATATGAGAAAAAGAAGGATAAATCCTCTCTGTAATGTCCATATTTTGTGAAAATTTAATGGCATGATAACAGCCAAAAAATTTTCAAATAATATCAATGTTAATGTAAATGATGATATGGCAATAAACAGGAAGATAGTTTGACTCAAAATGATACAACTATAAAAATTCATTTCTGTTTTATTAACAAGATGAAAAGAAAGTAGGCAAATTGAAAAAAAAATATCAGTAAAAGTCAGAGCTGTCACACCAATATTATGTAATTTCCATAATTGATGATTGATTAAACGAATAAAAATTAAATTACAATTTAGACAAAGTCCAACAAGTTGATTGGTACAGGCAATAAATAGTATCAAGTTTTTGCCATAATAATCCATTTATCTTTGAACAGTAGTTGAACATGCAGTAAATATAAAGAGTTAATGAGATTCTATTTATACTATAAAAGCATTAAGGATAATGCTCTATAAATTTACAAACCTTTTACCAACATTTTTTCTTCTCATCAATTATTTCTAAATCCATTAAAAACCTAAATTCAGTGGATGCGACAAAACACATCCACAAATCAGTGCTTTTACCTTAACCATAACTCAGCCCTTAGCTGTACCTTACCTTTTTCATTAGCCCTAACCCTCACAGGAGACCCTCCTAAGTATAAATCAGTTGCTGTTTTCTTCTGCCTAACCATTTCTCAATCGAAAATCTTGTCTTGAAATTTATCATTTGTGGACATTTTCTGTCGATCCTATAGTTTTTTAGCAGTACCAAATTACCAAGCTTGGCTAGAAAGAATATGCTAGCTATTGGTATGTTTTTGTTGGGGGAGGGTAGGTGGTCCCAACTAAGAGTTAGAGGCATTTGAAACGGGCTAGACAAACACAAGTGCTAGGTTAGAGTTAGGATAAAATCATAGATTTATGGCCGTTTTCTACCACATCCATTACACCAGTACTGCTTTTCATTCAAGTGACAAAGGCTATTGAACTTTTCCTAAGATGACTATAACAATATAGGACTAAATCTATGCATCATGAAAGCTGCTGTTGTCCACTATTTCAATTCTATTTGGTGGACAGTTGCAAAATGATCAACCTGATAGCTATAAATAATTCAGATTATTGACAAAACATATATTTTCATTTTTCAGGATTATTTTTTTCCATGTAGAAAGATTTAAATTTTCAAAATTCTATCAACAAAACATCATAACAAGAAGTCTTAATTTCCAATGAATAATCGCTTACGAAAACTATAACATACCAGTTTATAATAATGATACATTTTTATGACTTTTCCTAAAACTAAATGAACTAAATTATTTTAATACTTTAAAAGAAACTTGTCAATTTATAGATTATTTTTACAGCTTTATTAGAAAAACACCAAAAGAGTATATATGGCGAGTGTTTCTTTGTTCCATCACCAGGTGGCTCCAACGAGTTCACTACTGATATCCCAAAGACGTAAAGCATTCTTCTCATCTCTACATAATTTTGATGGTTGCCGTACTTTACATTCGCTGTAGGAATTGAATTAAAAATTTACGGGCCTATTGATTATAGAAATGGAAACATACTGATAGTAGGATCCGGCTTCGTGTTCAATTTCCTCAGTTACACAACAATGTATAGGTGTTTGTGCTCCTTGTTCTGCTGATTTTACATAGGCCTGATCCCTTCTCATACAGCATTTTACAGCTAATACATAAAAACAGTCGGAACATGCCGAAAAGTGAGTGTTGAAGTTTGTTAGGACAAATCCAGGATGAGCAGAATAGGCAGTCACACCATCCTCTGTTCAATTGTAGATAAGAGAAGGGTTAGTACATAGGAAATATGTTTTACAAGCTTTTATAAGAAATATTTACTGGAGAATCTTCTAGTTAATTCTTGGGCGAAGAGGATATTTGCTGCCTTACTTCTGGAATATAGTTTAAATTGACTTGATCCGCAGCACCCTCTATTGTGAAAATTTTCAAACATCATATCGTCACACGAATAGTGTCCTATGGAGGTGACGTTCACCACCCTACTAGGAGCGCAACTCTTAAGCATATCTATTAAAAGATAGGTTAACAGAAAATGTCCAGTATGATTAGTAGCCATTGTTGCTTCAAAACCATCCTCTGAGAATCTATTAGTCGTTCGAACTAAACCAGCATTGTTCAAAAGTATATCCAATCTTTTTTCCTCTATTTAAAAAGAGAAAATAAAAATAAACTGGTAGAATAAATGATTAAATAAAACTCATACTTTCTTTAAACTCTTTGGCAAATTGTCTAACACTCTTTAAACTCGACAGATCGACTATCATCACTATAAGATTTCCAAAGATTCCTGTATCCTGTTCAATATCCAATTTAGCATCATTACCCCTGGTCAAACTTCTACAGGCTAGAATAACTCTTGCTCCCCTCCTGATGAAATCCCTACAACATTCTTTACCAATACCCGAATTACCTCCAGTAACAATAACAGTTTTTCCTTCGAGCGAACGAGTCGATTGGCATATTGCATGTTCGGTTAGTCTAGAATTATTGACTATTGAGTTGTATATAGACAATTTAAAGAAAAAAATCATTCTTACGAAGTTTCATCATTAGTTGCATTCGCAACTTCTTTGTTTGTCATGTGCAACCAAGCTCCACGAATCATTGTTGTTTGTAGTTGGTTCAAGTTGTCTGTTGAGAGAGTATAACTACTCAATGCTTTTCGTAGTAGTATATATAGTAAATATTGACCTGAGTGTCACGCTTTCAACTGTTATAGAAAATCTCTGTGTCAGCTACTATACTACTACTACTACTCTGCTGTATATTAGAACAGAAGAGAGTTGCAAAAATAGGACAATTATGTTAATAGGCCTAATATGCCTACTTTGCAGAAAACATCTCCATTTTATCATTATTAAGAATTTGCTTGTATTATTTTTTGTCTGTCCTATACACGTAAGAAAACGAAATGTACAATCAATATGTAGGCCTACTTCTGTTTCGTAGTCCTATATAACATGCAGCGACCTCTGTGTCCTAGTTTCGCAGCTTGTAAGAGAGAAATGTGCACAACTACTGTTAAACGTATTGGCATCTAGTTTCTTGTAAATTTTCATAAATGGAGTATTGAATATTTGGGAAGCACTTAGAATGAAATCAAGTTATGGAATTGCAGTAGTTGTAGTATAAAAATTGGAACAGATATAGGAGCAACTGTAAATAGATTTAAAAAAAAAACTGTATTAAATATTTATCATTGTAAACAATCTTTTTTTGATCACTGACTCAATCTTCTATCTCTCTCCACCATATTAAAATTTCCTTCAAAACACAAATATTCAATACCTTTATGATAATGTGCCAAATCGGATAACCATTCGCATTGTTGAGAATTTAGATCACAGAAATTAACATTGAAATAGGATAATTTAATAGCAGATTTTAAACCTTGGCAAATTGTTTTAAAACCTTTACCCATATTTTTACAATAAGACACATTCACTGAATCAATATATGGACATTCTTTTAATAAATCTCCAAGCATTTCACACTGGTCTTCATTTAAATTACATAATGTTAAATTTATCCAACAATACTATCTTTTACTTTTCTCAATCCCAAAAAAATATTTTCCATACTTTTTCCCAAATTGTCATTTCCTGTAAGATCCAAAAGGTAAAAATTTGACATTTTTTTCAATGATTCACCAATCAAATATCCTTCTTCACAATTCAAATTGGTAAAAGAGAAACCAAGTATTGATAAACATTTTTTTGATTTCTCTACATTAAACATAAAGTTTTCAAAACCATTTTTAGATAAATCTACATTTCCCAAAACTATCATTTGTTTAGTTGAGTTGTTTCCAATAAATTTCGAAAATGTTTTCATTTCTGATTCATCCATTTTATATTTATTCAGTTCAAATCCACAAATATTCTGTTTCTTTTTCAAAAGATATTTCCAAAAGTAATTCAAATCATCACCCTTATTTACTGGAGCGGTTATGCTCCACAATAATAGGCCTTTACCATTTTCCAGACTATTACACAGTTCTTTACCTTTATCCTTTGTAAAATTACATTTAATAAAACTCATTTCATTAACATAATTTGGTATTTCCAATTTCTTATAATTTTCAAATTTGTAAACACAGTAGTGTTTGTCTTGTTCTGAAAAATTGAAATTGTCAATATTTTCTTCAGTGATAAATCTTACATCATAAATAGGAAGATTTTTTATTTGTTTTTTAGTTACAGTTGAAAATTGACTACACACCAATGGTGATGTCATCATTCTATTGACAGATGATAATACATTCATCATGATGTTATTCTTCAGTTTTTGATGAAGAATATTACACATTCTCAGTGACATTTCCTCATTTGTTTGTCAATTGAAGAATGGAGAGAAAAAAAATAATCAGTATTCACAAATTCAATACTAAAACCACAACCATTCTGAGTTTAAAACCATTTATTAATTCATTTTTTTTTGTGACCACACCCATTTCTTGGTTATAAGAATTATATTATCCATTTCGTGTAAAAATTTAACAGAATTAAAACTGTACAATTTTGTAATATAATATGAAAAAGACAGAAAAAAATGTTAAAATAATAAAGATGAATTCAAATGTCAAATATATTTCTATTTTTAAACCATTGGGTGAACTGGAAAATTTTAATTTGGCATTACAATAATTTAAGAGTAATTCTCTTACAAAGCGCCATATTGGATGATAAAACTGCTGAAATAATGTCAGATGTCTATAAAATAAATACTAGACTAAAAGAAGTTGTACTTGAAAAGAAAAAAATATGGATAGTGGCTTTGAAAGTATATGTAATGGATTAAGGTCTTCTGATAAGTCATTAAATGACCTTTACCTTTCTAACTGTAATTTTTCATCTAAACAAACAACTATTTGGGTAAGCACAATTCAATAATTAATGCTGTTAGACATAACGTAAAAATGACCTTATTCCACAAGCAATAGAGCCCATAGAGCCCAAGGAGCCCTAACAACAGTAGGAGATCCCATAGAGTTGAACAAAACTAATAGAACCCCAGCAACCTCAACAACATTAGTAGAGACAATAACGTCGAATACCATGGAATACACTTGTACCTCCAAACCTACTGTCATCACTCTTGAACTCACAAAAGAACCATCAGGTACCTCTCCTAAAAGCAGCTGGAGGTGGGTTTGGTGAGTGTAATGTTCCTAGTGGTAAGATACATACTATGATGAGAATTATCACAGAAAACTCATCTTGAAGAGAAGATTCATTCTCTCAAGAAACAAAAGACAAATCAATAGAAGACGTCAGTACAAGGGCGCCACCTAGTGTGTTTACGTTTACTCACAATGATCTTTTACCACACCTAACCCTGGTTTGAATAACCACTGTACTCAATAAATATCTGTCTTTTTATTTTCGTTTTGTGGCAGGTACATAAATTCATTCCTTGTTGTCTCTCAGTCATTTTGAACATATCTACAAAACAGTTAGGATATTACCCTACTTTTTTAACACACAGTTGATTTGTAGCCATCTAGGTTATTCAGACACTTTGGCAAAATATTCCGTAGATAGATTATCGGTTTTTTCTTAAAATGTTACTTTTGTCAAATGTACACTGTCTGTTAAGGACTTGAAGAATTGTTCATTCATTGGTTTACATTAAACATTTTCTTTGTCATTTTCTTTATGTAAATATAAAATTTCAATACTCAACAGCCAATCAAAAAGACAAAGAGAAGTTTTAGTATCTTCGTATCAGTTGCCATGGTTATAGACTAGGTGTTGGATTATTTATTCAAAATTCAAACAAAAATGTAGCTATTGAAAATGTTGAAAGTTCAGAGATTGCTATTCAGTCTATCAGGTATTTTAAAGACATTGATTATAGAAATGATTCATTAAATTATAATCCAAGCAGAAATGTGAACATTATAAATGTTATGGAATCAAATTCTAGCCTTTTTCTTTCAAAAAGATTTACTCATCATGAATTTTATCTTGAAAATATTTCAGTTGAAAATTCTACAGGAAATGGTATAATTATTGATAGTAGAGACGGTTTCTACTCCAGGAAAATATCTTCCAAAGAGTATTAACAAACTATAGAAATATTTTTCAAAATTAATTTTTTTCAATGTTATTTAAATTGTGAATTGTTTTTATAATATTTTTTTTACATTTTTGTCAAAATGCAGTAAGTTTATTTGTTTTTATCACACAAGCTTTAATAAAAATCACAGCATGAATTTGAAACACTGCTGTTGGAAGTGTGGATTTAGATTTCATTGAACAAAAAGAAAATTCAGATGCAAGTTGTGCAGACATTTATATCATGCAAAATGTTCAAAAAGTAAGTAAACTCTCTAAATTTCCCAGGTAGAATGTTTCATCATTTTTATATTTAGATGCAGATTATTGTTCTGATTGCCATGATATCAGGAAAAGAAGATTATTTATTAAATTAAAGAAAATAGTTAATTATCAACAAACCAAAATTCCTCAAGAATGTGATGAAAGTGCTATTTCTATCAAAAGAAACTTTACATGTTCAATGACCTGGAGATGTACTCAATTGGATTCTTGAAAAAACATGATGAATATCAACATCTAGCCTCTCATGAGTAGCAAAAAGAAAAATTTGCTACAATGCTGTGCTTCAGGTTTGAGATCCTTCAGTATTATAATCACTCTTAAATTGTCTGTTTAGATTTGAAAATAGGAGATAAGAAAATTAATTAATGATAAAACACCCCAAAATGTGTTGATGACTTTGAAAAAATTAAATTTATATGGATGGCACTAAAAGACCAATTTCCATGTTCTGACCTTCAAGTATGCTCTTCTCATTTCAAACAAGCAGTTTTGAAGAACATTCAGGCAGATTAAATGATAAAGCAAATAATTAAATATTTATTTTATTAGAAACTTGGATACCGAATTCTTTAATATAAACAGCTTGACAATACTCAATTCCACATTTGCAATTGTAATGGCAAAATGTATCATCAAGTTTGAGCTGTTTCATGGTCTTTAATATTAACTATTGTTTCATCATCTTGCTTCATTACTTGCTTAAAGATGGGATCATTTAGTCAAGTGTTGGTAAATGGATATTTCTTTTTTGTTGTTAAGGAAAAGTCGCAGTTAAATGATTCTAATGTTGAACATTTTTTTAATCTAGTGTCACTTTGAAAAGTGAAAAATACACAATCTAAATTCTTCGACAAATTTCACGTTCAAATTTATTTTGATTTTTTTAAACACTTTGTGACAGCCATTTTGATATAGACTATTTGTGTTTTGAAAAATAATTAGTCATGCTCCAACTTCTCATGATTTTCATCCAAACATAAAACACACAAGTTTTCAATGTTGTGTTTGACAATACTTCTAAAAGCTTTTGAGTGATATGAATCATAATTTCCCCCTGTAACCCTGGCTTAAAAGTGTTTATAATTGTGAATGGATGTTGAAAAGGCCACAGTTTTGTAGTTTTACCCTGTTTTAAGCACATCATTGTTCCTAACCCTTAGTTTGGACCCACCCCATTACAAACCAATAGTTTAAATATCTTTTGGGGACGTTTTCTGACGCATCCCATTCAAAGTTGTTGACAAGAAAGTGCTGTTTTACCTAACTGGGTCAGATATTTATGACAATGAATATGAAATCAAAACAGTAGAGAGTTCTCTAACCTAAAATGACCTTGTTCTCTCAATGACATTGTAATTTGTTAAGAGAAAACAAAAGCTTATTGTTAAGTGAATTCAGTAAAGATGACAGACAATTGTTTTCTACTGAATTTTGTTCTAAAATTCGAATTAGACACTTGTTGACAATTTTAAAATAATTGTATTTTCTATTTCCTTCCCAGTCCCAAAAGGATATATTTTGAGGTTTTGAGTTTAGATTAAACTCTGAGTAGGAAGAACAAGACAAATAAAATGATTTGTTGTTATGATGGTCTGATCTAAGGATTAGTTAGGGTTAGGAATTTCTCTACTTTTGGCTTTATTGCTTATCAGAGTTTGGTCTTGGGGTTGGGGAAAAGAACAATCATTATAGTCGGTTTCTTTAAATATCCAACACTTTAAATATTAATTTAATTCAACTGGAAATGTAGAACACATTTAATAGAGTAGTAGTTGTAACCACTCCAAATGTTCCTCTTCCAAGAACTCGTAATATGTCATTTTTTTTAAAAGTCAGATGAGGAAAGTGGAAGAAAAATTCTCTTACAAGATATATTTCTTTTAAAACATTTCAGGCATAGAAAAGGCATGTTAATATGATTTTTATTTTCTTTAAATTCTCTAGAAACATTGAAAATTTTTTTTAAACTTGTAAAACAAAATTTCAATATAAAAACAATAAAAATCTTACAATTTGCAACATTTAAAAGACTTTAAAAGTATGTAATATGAAGTGTTGAATTTTTCTAAATATTAAAAAAATAAAACATCTTTTTAGTGAAATATTTTGTATTCTTATACTTTTTGTACAAGACAGAGGGACATAGTGAAGATCATCGTATCCTGAATGGTCACAAATATTATTTATATATGATCTTAAACATTCTGTATGAACTATAGGAAAAGTCTTGTTGATTTTAGGTGAATTTCTGTAAACTGTTCCAATGACATTAACTGCATTGTTTTCGTATAGTTCTAAATGTATTTTACATTCTATAATTGTTAGAAAACATTGAAGAATACATGGAAATGTTGAAATTGACATATAAAAGCTCTTCATTTATATAATTCCAATGCAAAATTGAGCAAATGTCATATTTAAAATAGCATAACATGTTATTACTTACACATTAGGATCAAATAACTTTTTGCTATTAATATGTCATTGACATCTTAAATTTCAACCATTAAACTAAATTTAGCTTATTGAGAAAGTCTGAAAAAGACTGTTTTCACTCTCAACCTATAATTTTTACCTGTTAAACAATCTGATCTTAATTCAATAATAGCCATTTCTAGACAACTTTAGCTGCACAAGAAATATAAGCATTCAAAACAAATATGAAAAGTAAAGACCAGTACTTATTCCATCACAAACACTGGGGGAAGATTACAAACTTTGTGCAGTCAATAGGATTATTAAACTTTCCAAAATGGATACTGCAGAAAACAGTGACCATCCCATCAGTAAATATCTCTACATTGTGCTTTATTTAGACAACAATAACCTAAATTTTTGATTTTTCAAATTGTTTTAATGAAAGTTGCAGTTTTTCAGAAATTTTTAATATGCTGTACAACTTTGGTTATATTTGATGCTTATACTA